GAGACCTGCCTCTCTTGTGCATGCAGACCGGCTCTGTGATGCGGGGAATATCTCTGGGTGCTCCTTACTGCACTGCAGCAGCCAAAATCAGCCAAACACCTTTAAAATAGCAGGTCTGGAGGTTGTAAAATACGACCAGCTCAACTTTTCTCTCGTAATATTTCGCTGATTTCTTGTTTGTTTGTTTGTTTTCACTGAGCCTGCCTGCTCTTTGATTGCATTTAAAGTTAATTACGATCCTATTAAAATAGGTGAGGAATAGGTGCTACCAAGCTGGGTGAAGTTGGAAACAAATGCACAATGCAAGCAGCAGCCCGCTGCCTGCCTGATCAAAACGTGCAAGGTTTGAACGTGGTGCTTTAGATAACCTTGGGTTTCTCTCCAAAAAGTGCAACGTTATTTTGAAAGGCGTACGAAAGCTAAAGGTGGTGTTTATCTAATTTTATTTTCCCCTTAGAGGTGCAATAAAGCCTTCGTTTCGAACGGCATGTGTCGAGGAATCCAAAACCGGGATTTTTTTTCCTTACAAAAATGTACTTTGCAACCTCTAGGTCGATTTCTACCCTACGTGTGCATGGAGATTCTCGTTATATGAATTACAGCTAACGGCCCAGGTCTAGGTTGATGTAGGGCGGATTCCTTTCTGATGAAAAAATAAAATCAAATCGAAAAGGAAAATGGGGGAAAAAAAAATGAGAGAGAAAAGAAACCCGAGGTGGAGGGTGTTGGTTTCACGTGCATCATTTCGGCTGGGGAAACGTCCATGTCTGATGCTAGGTGTGCGTGTGCAGCTGAGCTGTGGGTTGTGGGGAGGCTGCAGAGGAGCAGGCTGCGGGGCTCTCCTGCAAGCGGGGCATCTCCCCGGCCAGCTCGGAGCCGGCCGAGCCAGCCCCGGGCGGGTTGCAGGCGCCAGAGGGTGCCCGGCGGGCTGCGGGGGGGCCGGGCGCCAGCCGCGAACTTGAGCGAGCCCCTCCCGGGCCGCCCGGAGGCTCGGGGCCGGCGACGGGGTCGGGGGCTGGGGTTTGGGGACCCCCCGGCCCTGCAGAGCCCCGCGCCCTGCCCGCGCCTCGCCCCGCCGGGGCCTCGGCCCCGCAGCCCCCCGGTCTGCCGGCCCCGCGGAGGAGGGTTCATGGCCAAGGGTACACTCTAACAGACGGAGGGAGTTTTGATTTTTTTTTTTTCTTCTTCTTCTCCTTTGATTTTGATAGAGGAAATCAAGTCTGATACTCCAACAAGCAATTGGCTAACTGCAAAGAGTGGCAGAAAGAAGAGGTGTCCTTACACTAAGCACCAAACACTGGAATTAGAGAAAGAGTTCTTATTCAATATGTATCTCACTCGAGAGCGCCGCCTAGAGATCAGTAAGAGCGTAAACCTCACTGACAGGCAGGTCAAGATTTGGTTTCAAAACCGCAGAATGAAGCTCAAGAAGATGAGCAGGGAGAACCGAATCCGAGAACTGACCGCTAATCTGACCTTCTCTTAAAGCCTAATCCTGGGGGTGGAAACAGTGAGAAATGGGCACAGCACCACCAGTTGCTAAATGCAGGAGAGACTCTGGCAGAACCCGTCATTTTCCTTTTTTTTTTTCCTTTTTTTTTTTTTTTCTGGTAGAATGTGACTCTTCGTACTTCTTTTAGCGCTGCAAGTGAATATGTATTACTATGACGAGTATATATAAAACCTAGCACGTGTAATTTATTTTTGTTCTCATCGTAATGCAGGGTAACTATTATTGAATATTATCATTTGGTCTTAACTTATTGGAACTGTCGAACATCCAAGCAATGTGACTTTTTCATGTTTTTACTAACAAAATGGTATTTATGTGGGGCTGTTACACGGGCCATAACATTTTGAGTACATTCAATACTTTAAGAAAAAGGGGGGAAAAACTTTGGGGGCGGGAGGAAAGAGAAGCACATTATAATGTAACTATCCTCGCAAATGAACTTAGAGATTGTCCTTCGTAAAATGGAATATTTCATTCTTCTCCATTGTAGACATTTTCTTGTGGTGCATATGTGGAATAGTAGTCGTTCAGCAGCAATATGTCCTTCTTGTGCATGTTCTGTTCGCATGTATAATGCAATAAACTCTGTAAACTACTGCGGTTCCTTTGGTTTTCTACAAACGTTTGAAGTACGGCTGCAGGTTGGTTTCCTGATCTTTCCTTATCAGCAGCTCTTTGGACTGATGTACCTTCTCGCTTTCTTGTCCATTTTCTGGTCTTTGTGTGTGTCTGCCTGCTTTCCTTTCTTTCTTTTCCCCTTTTTCTTTTTTTTCTTTTATTTTTTTCCCCTTCCCTTCTTTTTAGGGGTGGGGTGGAGTCTGGGGCGGGAAATGATGTAAAGCTAATTTATTTATAATTGTGTCTGTAAACAAATGATTAATTGATAAAATGTTGTGTGATGTTCGCAGTCTAACAAACTGAATGCAAAAAAAAAAAAAAAAAAAAAAAAAAAAGCAGAAAGAAAGAAAAAAAAAAAGTAGTAAAATATTATGACCTAAACTGGACATCCTCATCCAATCAACTCATAAATGGTAAGTGATAAAAAATCTTTCTACCACAAGCTGTCAGCAATATGTGTGTCATTTTATTTGACGTTCCTATGTTGATTTAAAAAATAACAGTCACTGCCTGCTTACAATGTGTAGACTTTGATTTCGTGTCCTTACTTGCTTTAAAAAAACATCATACCAAATGCAAAGCTGGGTATAAATTAATGCGAGGAGTTTGCTTCTTGGTCAGCTCAAGAGCCTTTAGAAGATGGTGGATGGGGAAATATTCCCTCAAACATCTGGCAAGTTTGGGCTTTTGCGAGCAGGAAAGCTCCCAGGCGTGCTTACAGAAGTACACCAGCCTCTCCAGCCCCACTTTTGTGCCCCTTCACCATTTTTGTTTGCTCAGAGCTCGTTTTATTTCCCGCAATTCCATTTTAGTAGCACACGTCCAGATAATGAACTTCACGACTCTTAACCCTTTCGGCGCATAACTGAAAAATATTATTTGCAGGGTCCCTGCCCTGGCAGAGAAGGAAGAGGGTGCGGGTGAGCGGGTGGGAGCAGAAATTCCGAGCAGAGCTGGCTTGCAAATGAACATGACACCAAACCGAAGTGTGAATACTTGGGCATACTTTCACCTTCAAACACTACTGGAAAAATAGCGTGGCTGCTGGCTGCGCTGGGAAAACAGCTCGCCCACAATCAACGCCCAGTCTTCCCCTAAGCAGTTGCTAAATCAAGAAATGAAGCGCAAGATAGTGCCAACGTTTTCTGCCTTGGTGACACTGATATTGCTCATGTTGCAGCTGGTGGCGTTGCATTTTGCTCGCTTGTCGCGGATATTGAATTTCAGCAAATGCTTTCTCATGTTTGCTCGTAGGGCAGAGGAATATTTTCCTCAGCCCAAAGCATCACAATTTTGAAGCTGCGGGAGCCGCAAGCACATAGGTATGCAGTGCTTGTTCTTGTTTCGAAAACAAACAACAAAGCGGTGCTCAAATCCCACCTCTTTAGATATTGCGCACATTTGAACCATCTTTATTTTTATTTTTCCTTTAAAGATACTCGCTTCATCACCGAAGAAGTTTCGACAGTGGGGACTAATTAACTGGCTCCATACCAAGTGTTCAACTTATATAAAAAAGGAGGTTCACACTAATCTGCCCGCTTTATCATTTTCTATCTGTGTGCAGCGAGGGGCAGTTCCTCGCCATACAACAAGCCCTGCTTCTAGATAAAATAAAAGGGAAGTCTGAAAATGCAAAGGAAAATGCTAGAGCGAGATGCCCAAAAACTAAACAGAAAAAAAAATAAAAAGGAAAAAAAGGAAGAAAACAAGCTAAGAGAGTAATAAATCATTAAATAAACAGGAATTTCAGTCCCTTCCTCATACCGGCCCGCGAGTAGGAAGTGTTTTCGCAGTGCTGTTGTTTGTGTCCTCAGCGGGCTCTGCTGTGGGCTCTCCACTAACTGTGTGCGTTTCCTCCAGATCCCGACACAGCCACCTTCCCTCACTCAGAAGAGCAGAAATGTGCGGAAGACCATGGGTAATCTGGTTTTCAATACTAACCGGGCATCTTGTGGCTCGGGGAAGGGGGACCGGCTCGGGGAGGGGAGAGAAGGAAGAGAAAGCGAGGCGGGCAGAAAGCTCCCGCAGGCATTGAACGTGGCCAGCCGGGGCTGGCCGGCCCCGGTCCCCCTGAACTCGGGCGGAGGAGGCAGTGGGGCCGGGGCTGCTGCGGGGCCTTCTCGGGGTCCCCCCCGGCCAGGCTGCCCGGGGGCTCCGCGGCCCCAAATTTTCTCGGGTGCAGCAGAGGCGTGCGCCCAGCCACGCGTCGGCCGTGCTGGGAGACACAGGCTTCGCTGTTCCCATCCGTCCGTTTTATTAGGGACACATTAATCTATAATCAAATACACCTCATAAAATTTTTATTGAAAGGCATAAAATCATTACAGAGGTCTTCCACCTGTTTTAAAACAACACAATGGGCATCTCTTTTAAAACGCGGATCCTTCCCATGGAAACTTTCTGCCGAGGGAGGGGGGCACGGGGACGGATAATACTACCCGCACACGCTCTGAAATATGGAAGTACCGCAATGTGCTTTTACTGTAACATTTTCCTGTTTTATGAGAAGTCGTTACAGTCCCAGCTTGCGATGGTTTGTTTTTACAGGCAAGAATCCCCCCTTCCCAGCGGGTTTCCTCAGCAGCTCGGAGTGTGATTAGCAAGCCAAGGCTGTTGGATTTATTTAAACACCCTGCCTCTCGTTGATTAAGAAATGAATGGCAGAAATCACTCAGACGACGTGAAGAAATAGTCCGCGCCCGCCGCGGCCGTGGGCTGCCAGCGCGGCCACGCCCGCCGCGCCCCGGGCGGGCAGGGCAGGGCGGGCAGCGGGCAGGCAGCGGGCAGGCAGCGGGCAGGCAGGGCCGGCAGGGCCGGCAGGGAAGGCAGGACAGCGGGCAGGGAGCGGGCAGGGAGCGGGCAAGGAGCGGGCAGGCTGCGGGAGGCAGCGGGGAGCGGGCAGCGCGGGCGGCCCCGGCGCGGTGCGGGCGCGGTGCGGGTGCGCGGCGCGCTGTGCGGTGCTGTTGTTGATGATGATTTTTTTTTTAATCACAGCAGCCCCAGTTTAGCGGATTGATTTACTCGCAGTATTGGTAAATATGATCACGTGGGCCCCGCGACCAATGGTTGAGGCTTGCAGTCTGCAAAATACTACGATTGTTCTCAGGGAGGGTATCATATACAGTTAACAGTGTAACCTTTTATATGACTAAGAGGGGAGCCTAAAATGTCGTCTAGTGGCACCATAAGTAACTATTATGTCGATTCTCTCATAGGCCATGAAAGCGAAGAAGTTTACGGGAGTAGATTCGTCCAGGGAGGTCACAGTGCGACCTCCAGGCCATCAGGTGTTGCAGAGAGTTCAGATTTTTCCTCCTGTAGCTTTGCGCCAAAATCCACCGTGTTCTCCACCTCCTGGTCCACGGTTCACCCTCAGCCGTCTGCGGCAATGACCGGCATCTACCACCCCTACATGCACCAGCCCCACTTAGGGGCAGCCGACGCCGGCCGCTACGTGCGCTCCTGGATCGAGCCCTTCCCGGGCTTCCCGGGCGGCGCCGGCGGCGGCGGCAGCGGCGGCGGCGGCGGCGGCGGCGGCAGCGGCGGCTCCGCGTCCAGCTCCGGCTCCTCCACCGGGCGCCACTACGGGATAAAGCCGGAGACGGGAGCAGCCGCCTCCTCGTCTTCCTCCTCCTCCTCCTCCTCCTCCAAAAGGACTGAGTGCTCCTCGTCCCGGGAGTCCCAGGGGATCGGTGTGCCCGAGTACACGTGCAGCTCCTTCCTCCAGGAGCCCCGGGAGAAGGCGGCTGCCAGCAGCTCCAAGGACCCCGCCGCCTGCAGCCACAACCCCAGCCCGAGCAGCGATCTGAAGGAGGAGAAACAGCAGCAACTTGACCCAAGTAAGTAAAAAAAAGGAGAGAGAGTGAGGGGGAGAGAGGCAAGGAGAGAGGCAGGGAGAGAGGGAGAGAAAGAAAGAAAGAAAGAAAGAAATTGCCCCTTTGATTTATTGCCGAAACCTGTAAGGCTCGAATGTGCAAAACTGATAGTTTTACTAACCTATAAAAACGTCTAGACGCCTACCCCAGCGCAAGCAGCAACAAGCACCCATAAAAGACTCCACATAACCACCTACCATCAAGACATCATTTGTACAGTAAACAGACTGGGGCATTAAGGCTTTTATGATAATTCCTCCAAAGTTGTGAAAACAGTCCATCCTTCGTTAAATTAATTTAACGACCTTTCTCCCCCCCCCCCCCCCCCCCATATACCTCCCTTCTTTCAGATAACCCTGCAGCAAACTGGATCCACGCTCGTTCAACGAGGAAAAAGCGTTGTCCCTACACAAAGTATCAAACTCTGGAACTGGAAAAGGAATTTCTCTTTAACATGTACCTCACCCGAGATCGCCGTTACGAAGTAGCTAGGATTTTAAATCTCACAGAGAGACAGGTCAAAATCTGGTTTCAGAACAGAAGAATGAAAATGAAAAAGATGAACAAGGAGAAAGGCAATAAAGGAGACTAACGCTGGGGTAGAAATGCAGCTGGGGAATATTGCTTTAGTTTTGAGTTTGGGGCTTTGGGAGATTTTTTTTTTTTTTTTTTTAATTTTTAATCTCTGTTTGGTTGGGTTTTATGCTTCCCCTGCCCCCCTCAGCCCCGCATACGTTTCTCCTCCTCCTCCCGCGGCCCCCCCCCCCCCCCCCCCCCAGGAACTTTAAATCAATCTGGTCTTTTTTAGATAGAAGTGAAACGTGGTCTATGTCAGGTATTTTGGGAAATTTTGTCTTGCTCGCCAACGTGTTTTGCAGAGTCGCTTCATCCCCCCCTTCTCCTTCCCAGACCGTTTGGTTGATGATGTTGTGAGTGCACGTTAGCTTTGGGAACTTTATCTGATGTTAAATGTTTGACATGTTTCTTAAAAGTGATGTAGTCTAGGTAGTTACTTTGCCAAAATAAAGGTAAGGAAAATAACTATAATTATGGTAACAAGATATATATTAAATTACAGTCGCTTCAATCAGTGGGGGTGTTGTGTCGTCCACGAGTTATTAAAAGGAAACCTTACCCCGACCCTCTGCTTTCTAGGTCTGAATTGCGCTCCTTCGCAATAGATGCCACAGAGAGGCCACGAGAGACCCCCCCCCCCCCCCCCCCTTTTAGTGCACTGTTAGGAGGTTGTCTCAGACCCGAAGCCGTTCGCAATAGGCCTCACGTTTCTCGGTCCCCCGGCTCGCTGCCGCTCTCGACCCCGGTAAATGCTGTACTACCCACCACGTCTCTGCCTCCCGACCTGCTGTAACTGTTGTCCGCTATTACAAAATAAAGGCTGCGAACGAAAAGCGCTGCGCTCGGAGCAGAAATCTGTGCGTCCCTCGCCCTGCCCTGTCCGCAAAGCCCCGCACAGCCCCGCGCCTCCCTCCCGCCGGCCTCGCCGCTCTTCTCCGCACCGCTCCGCGCTGCTGCGGGCACGGCGGCCCCGCTGCCAGCCCCGGGCCGGGGGAAAGCTCCCCTGGCTCCAGGGGCTCGGCCGGGTGCGCCCGCCGCTTTGCTGGCTTTGTGCGCGGCCTTCGGGCTCGCTCGGGGAGCTCTGAGGGTCATTTAGGAAAGATTTCCGCACCGCTCCTCCGAATAAGCCAAACGGCGCTTATTTGCCCAAACAGTTCTTGTTTTGTTTTCCCTTTTTTTTTTTTTTTTTTTTTTTTTGGCCGTTTCTGATCTCCGCGCTCTTTAATCTGGAGGTTGGGAAGCTCTGGAGACACCAGGCTACTTCCAAACCTGCAGCGATATTGGCGAAAGATCATTTCGCAGCACGTCTCATGCCTTCAACATTTATAAACACACATGGCTTTATCAAGATAATTGAGATGAAGTTCATTGTAAAAAATGCTTTGTTTAAAGAGCAACCATTAAAATGAAGGACCCGTAAATATTTACGAGCAGTTCGGTTAATTCAAGATTAAGGGGAGAGCCGAGAGACCTCGCGTTTAATGTTTTCTACCTCTCTCTCTTTCTCTAAAAAAAAAAAAAAAAAAAAAAAAAAAGGCAAAAAACATGTAGTGCCAGGAAAAGGTGTTGCATTGCTTCCCATCTATTGTCGAGAAGATACCTATAATTCTTTTAAAACAGGAAGAACCGTGGTATAATAAAACCATTGAGATGGCTAGACGTCTGGACCTAATGAGTTTACGATATGCTATGGCGCTTTTCTTTGAAACCACCTTATTTTGATGTTTGTGTTTGTTAGAGGAAAAAAAAAAGCCAAAAATGCAGACAAACTAGGTCTTAAAATCTTGGACTATAAATTTCAACACGTCAGCGTTGGGCCAAGGCAACAGTCTCAAAAAAGACACGAAGGTCACGAAACAGATTTTACCAAGTCCACTGATTAGTGGAAATGTATTTTGTTGGATATTCTACCGTGCTGAATCCTACCATCTTAGCGTTCATATTTTCGAAAATAACCGGTCTATATGTGTGTGATCTACAGATAACAACACGTAAACTATATTCTTGCCACTGAGCACTGTTAGGTTGGTTCTAGCAGAGGCTCTGCTAAGAAATTGTCACCAAGCCCACATCATTTCCTTTTAATATTTTATCTCAGGCACTATGACGTATTTTTATCTAGTATATTTTCATTTTTTTTCCTTTTCTTTTTCTTTTACTTGCTTCTGATACTGTGTGTGCTTATTTCAAAATGGCAGAGAGAAAATGAAACGTCTCGAACGTCAACGCGCAGTTCCTCCATGTAAATCGCTTTTAGTGTCAAACTAAACAATAATTTAATCCCTACCCGTTGGTTGTGTTAATGTATGTTTGTACATATGCACAGTCGCGTGCACACGCACACACATTATTCCGAATAATTCACAGGCATGTGTGATGGAGCGGGGGTAAACAAAGATTCATCTTTACTTTCGTTTACATAAATCAATCTTTAGATACATAAACGCACGGGCAAACAAAATAACATGTTCAAGACAAAAACGGAGAGCTCTGAAACTACCACACATGGAGTATTCGTGGTGTAATATGTGGGGAAACATGATCGAAAACGCGATAGCAGCGGTCTTCAAAGCTCAGGCGTCTCTGCTGGCTGCCATGTGTAAACGAGGCGCATTCTTTGTATGTAGTTAATTATAGCACTGGCAAAAAATTAAAAGAGGGTCACCGAAATGTGCTGAGAAAATGGCACTGGAAACTCCGACAGACACCACAACCACCACCACCCCCTCCCAAAAGGAAAAAAAAAAAAAAAAAAAAAAAAAAGGAATAAAAGCAAAACCAAAAAGGAAAGGAAAGGAAAGGAAAAGCTGCTCGTGACCAAGCTCGTCGAGAGGCGAACATAACACCGCGCCGATCTCTGGCGGCGGCAGCGGCGCCGTCCTGGTTCTGGCGGACCCCCCTTGGCGGCGGGGCTGAGGCCGCAGTGGGGCTGCCTGTCCCCTGTCGCTGCGTCCCTGTCCCTGTGTCCCTGTGCCCCTGTCCCTTTCCCCTGTCCCTGTCCTTGTCCCTGTCCCCCTGTCCCTGTCCCCTGTGCCTGCCGCCGCGCGCCGCCAGAGGGCGCGCACGCTCCACCCTAGGCGCGGTGCCGCGCCCCGCCGCTCCGCACCGCTCCGCGCCCCGCGCAGCGCTGCGCGCCCCCCCCGCCGGGACCCCGGGGTCCAGAGCCCCGCGGGGACGGTGCCGGGCATCCCGGCAGGTCCCGCACGCGGGGGGCAGCCGCGGAGCCTTGGCCACAGCTCCGCGGGAGGCCGCGGAAGCAACCGCTGCCCCCCCCTCCCCCCTCCCCGCGCTGCGCAGGGCTCGGGCGGTGCTTTTGTGCCTCCCCCCTGCCCGGCCGCCCCTGCTCCGGCCTCGGGGGGTAGCGCTGCGCTGCTCTCTCGCTGCTCTTTCCCGCTAGCACCAAAAATCCGTGTGCCCCCCAACACCCGGGGCCTCTCACGTCCCCCCCCAACCGGTCTGTGGGGTTAAGGGGGGGTTGTGTCAGCGCAGAGCGGCCTCGGTGGGGAGAGCATTTGGGCACCGCGCCGCTCTGGGCCCCAAAACCTAGGGCACGGGGGTTTCTGCGCCTCGGGCCTCGCTGGGCCGGGCGGGGGGCGTCACTGTGCCCTCGCTGGGCCCGGCACAGCCTCACCACGGCCGAGAGGCCTTTACCGGCCTCCGTAAGTCCCTGCTCATGTGCGGGGACCCAGGCCGGCCGCCGAGACAAAAAGAGCAGCACGACGAGGGCCTCGGACATGGGGTGGGGGTGGGGGCGGCGGGGTGTGATGGGGAAGGAGCCTGCGATGTCTTTTATGTAACCACAAATATTTTTGTCAATTCACACCAGACGGTCACACGTGGCTCTGGCGGAGCCCGTATTAGATTTCACCTACATTTTTCGTCTCTGTTCAAAGCAGGGCGGACTCGAGCTCCTGGGGGTGTCTGCCCTTAAAAAAAGCTGGTTCCCGCAGCAGGAAGAGCGGTCCGCCAGAAGCGTTGTGAAGAGAGGACGGGGAAGACGGTGCTCCTCGGACCGGGGCAGCGGGGCCTGCGCAGCCTCCCGGGCCTCCTTCCCCGAGCCTCCAGCGCGGCGGAGGCCGAGGGCAGCGCTCAGCGCCCGGCCGTGCTCCCCCCGCGGGGGCCCGCAGCGAGCCCGGTGGGCAGCGCCTTCGCTCCTTCCTTCCTTCCCTCCTTCCTTCCTTCCTCCGTCCCCGGGAGCCGGGCTCGCCTGTTTCCCTCGGACGGCGTCCCCGAGCGGAGCTGACCGCTCACCCACACGCCTTTCTTCCTCCCTCTCTCTGCCTCGGTAATGACGTCCTCCAAGGGTGAAATGATGGAAAGTATATTCATAGGCATGATTTCCATTAAGTATCAATTAACCTGCAGCCTCAGCCATGCGTGCACGGCGTCAAGGGTAAATGTGCATCTCATTTCCCAGCACTCCGCTCGCCTGCGAGGAAATGACCCGGAGGGCCCCTGCCCCTGCGAGCTGCCGCCCTCCCGCACCGGGACCCCCGGGCCGCCCTCGCAGCCTCCCGGCCTGCTGGCCGCGGCTCCCCCGCCGGCTCGGCCTCGGCGGGACGGGCGGCGACGCCCCGGGCAGCGCGCCCGCGGTTATCGCGCGGCATCTGCGCGGAGCCTCGCCCCGCGCGGCGGGGGACCGGCGGCTCCTGGCGAGCGCGCACCGGCGGGGGGAGCGGGGGCGCCGCGGCTGGGGTGGATCCGGGCAGGGCCGGGCCGGGTTTTTTTCTTGCCTGAGGAGCGGCACATGTAAACTGAAGCCAAAAGTCCCCCCTGAGCTCATGAGCGTGTGCGTGCGTGCGTGTGTGTGTGTGTGTGTGTGCGTGCGCGGGCTGCTGTGTGCCTAATAGGAAATAGTAAAAGCAGTGAGGCAGGTCATTTTGGGAGCGATTATATTCCAGTCCTGGTCACCGCATACACGGAGAGCAGGAGAGGGGAGCGCACGGGCTAGCGGCGGCGGCGGCACCATGAGCGCGGCGTAGAGGCACCGGCGGCGGCGGCGGCGGCTGCGGCGGGGGGGAGCAGCGCCCCGTGCCCGCGCCCGCGCCCCCGCCGGCCGCTGCCCCCTCCCCGATGAGCTCCTACTTTGTCAACCCGCTCTACTCCAAGTACAAGGCGGCGGCGGCGGCGGCGGCGGCAGCGGCGGCGGCGGCGGCGGCGGCGGGGGAGCCGCTCAGCCCCCCGTACTACGACTGCCACTTCTCGCCCGAGGTGAGCGGCCGCCACGCCGCCGCCGCCGCCGCCGCCGCCCTGCTCTACGGGAACGGCGGGGCCGCCGCCGGCTTCCCGCAGCCCGCGGCCGGCGGGGCGGGGGGCGGCGGCGGAGCGGCCGCGGACTTTTACCAGCCGGCCGGGGGGAGCCCCACGGCCGCCTACCAGCCGCCTCCTCCTCCCCCTGCCGCGCCTCCGCCTCCTGCCCCCTGCAGCGGGGTTACCTGTCACGGGGAGCCCGCTAAATTTTACGGATACGATAACTTACAGAGACAGCAGATTTTTACGACACAGCAAGAGGCCGAGCTGGTACAATATCCTGACTGTAAATCGTCCAGTGCTAATATTGGCGAGGAACCAGACCACTTAAATCAGAGCTCGTCTCCTGCTCAAATGTTTCCCTGGATGAGACCACAAGGTTGGACGCAGTCAAAATTTGCTTCCATCTCACGTCTGAGTTCGAAACTTTTCTTTTCCTCCTCCCGCTTCTTTCCCCCTGCCTCCCGCTCTCTGCCTCTGCCTCCCTCTCTCCCTGCCTCTCTCTCCGCGACTCCTGTAACCGCGACGGCTCGTGATAATAAAATAAGACAGGGAGCAAACAGAAGCCTCCGGGAAGGCGGCTGCCA